GAATATAACTGAAACGAAATTGAGAAAATAATTTAAAGAATTTGATTTTTACATATAAGTAGATACTATTTATATGATGTGATTGATTAATTTAATACTGCATAACGAATGATCATTCTTCTGGGTAGCATCACAACCATTCGTTTATACTGGAAGATTGATTACTGAAGCAACGTGATTCCAATTAATGCGGGCAAGGTTTTATGTGAACATGTTACAGCAAGTATGTATGTAACAATAGACCGAATGCATTGCAAGAAGAGCGTACGTTTAAAAGATATTAATTACACGCTGTGGCTTTGGTAATTACAGAAGGAAAAGATGTATTACTCGATGTTTAATCGTCTGTGAAAATCGATACAGCGCATGAGTAAGGTCATAGGTCTTTGGCAATCTTTCTGAGGATCAGCTTATTACTGGGCTTAGTATGTCGTACGCCGCGGGGGTACTCGCTCCAGATTCACATTAGATGCCGACGTGTTCCGAGAATATTCCTGTCTTCTGCAAGATGTATGTTTCTTCGTATGCAAAAGCGAGATGACCCTGTGATAGATAGGATTGTGGAATAAGTCTACCTCGCTTGTTCTGCACGTGGAAAACGGTACAATCTTGAATCTTTTCTGTATTTCCATGCATCCGCATTCTCCCGAATTGATTATTCACGATGCGTATTACACTTCTCGATATTGTTAAATTACAACAGGTATTTATCAGACATTTTTGACGAAGTCCATCTAAATTTCGTTTCGTTAAACTTTAATGAGCTTTAGAACGTTCTCTGATTATCACCACTCAATTTCAACTATAGAAACATAAGACTAAACTTCGACGTTATTCAAGCATAATTTCCTCCGTTTTGCTAATAAATGATTGCAGAGTCACGTGTGTATTAAAGCATCAATTCCTTTCACATAAATCACATATCATTTCTGCAAATGATTCCCTGAAAGGAAAAGTTCAAACAATGTGTCGCATGATCACCAATGGCCACTTGATTCCCGGCGCAACTCGAGCTAAAGAGATACTAAGTAGCTCTAAAGTGTTCGGTACTTATCTACAGCGCGCGCAGAAAAGAGGAACTATGGGAAATGAAATTGAAGAGGTGAGATGATAGGGTTGGGGCGATCGTCATTACGCAGCTTCTCTCATTAGGGTTCAATGTAGCCAATACAGCCGCTGTGGTTCGCTTGAACTCGAGTCAGGGATTATCATGAATTTGTCGATCTTGTCGGTAATTTACAATATTAGTGTAATCAGCCCCTTGCTGAGCCCGAGGAAGCACCGACCTGCTGCTCTAACTTAAATTGATGACCCATGCAATCATACGCTTGATCTTTCTTTTATTATATGCACTCGACACGCTTATGTCTTTTTCGTTTCTCTTGCATTTTCATTTGCCAAACACTTTTTTCGCTAGCATTAGCCGCATTATACAGGGTGTTCCAGAATTCAAGATTTTATTCTGAGGATGAGAAGAAGGATGAAATTCTTAGTCAGATAGATTATTAATGAAAGAAGTAGTAGAA